GGGTAAGCAACTCAGGGATGATGTCTCCCAGTCTTTTCCTTTCATCCAGCATACAAATTTTATGACACTGCACATCAAATACCTTAAATTACACAATGAGTACAAACAAAGCACTCATGATGAAAGCAACATCATAAAAGTGTTAGAGGAATCCATTCTAACAGAAGTGTAAATCTCTGCATGGAAACATAAAAAGTATTAAATGAAATAAGTAATATGATGTAAAAAAGATTCATGGCTCTCTAGTAACAGACTGCAAAGATGTTAAAGAAGATGAAATGCCTAATAAAGAATTTATAAGATTGACTTTTAAAAGGCCCAATAAAATGCATGATTATACATATGAAGAATTAAAGGAGATAAAATGATGCAAGATATGAACAAGAATTTTATGAAAGATAGAAATCTTAAAAATGAGCTATATGAACTCTTGGAAATTAAAAACTCAAAAAAGGAAATGAAATGTAAAGTTCTCAAATATTCTAATGATACATCCTGACATCCAAAAAACATAGCAAAAGAGTAGGAGTAAAGAAATAAAAAAAACCCAGAAATCAATGAAAGAGAGAGTAAAAGAATAATAGAAACAAGCAAATAATTGGTTCTTTGAATACATATACAAGATTAATGTATTGAGTGACAGGAGGAAGGGAAAGGAGTAAAGAAACAGAGAGTGAAAAATAACCCCGAAAGACATTCTAAAGAGAGAGAAAAGTACCAGGATTCTAGAAACAGTGGCAGAGAGGCCACAATGAATGGAGCAGAAAGTGAAATGAAAAAGACAAACGGTTAACTAATGACAGAAAAAGAGCACGACAGAAATGAGGCAAAAAAGGTTGGATATAATTTCTAATATAGATGGCCTAAATACACTTAGGGAAAAAAGAGAGAATCTCAGGCAGAGTGGATCAAGAGGTAGGGTCCACCAAAACGCTCTTTATAAGAAATATAATTAGCCTCAAGAAGGTTATATGGACCAAAATCAAATATGAGAAAATGGAACTCGATGTGATAGGGAACCAGAGAGTAATAGTGGTAACTGGGCCAGTAATTATGGATAGGGTGAACAGACAGGCTTTAATAAATGAAGAAATATAACTAGAAATCCAGCCCAGGAATTAGAAAGTTCAGAAACACTTAAGTAAATAGCAAGTTGCCCCCCCAAATATAAAACCATGAGTGATGGGGAGACCCCAGAATACTCAGTTCATTTTGGGGAAGTAAAAGGGAGGAACAGTATTCAAAAAAAAAAAAAAAAACCAGCAGAAGATATAGCTAATAGTGTATCAGGAATTAAAACCTTTATTAGTTGCACAACTCTGATTGGTTGGAACTTGTTCCATCCTAGTTTGTATACAAGCACTGGATCTGAGGGCACAGACAGGTGTCCTGAAGATATCAGGACATAGCACAGTGGTCATCCTTAATTTCATATTAACTCAATCAGAATTCCTATGTGACTTATACTGTTGTATCATGACTGATCTTAGTTAAATCTGACTTGTTTGAATGCTGCTTATTATTGACAGATTTTATTCAAAACTGTTAGATTGCTGGTATCAAGTTGAGGAGTATAGATAACTATACTGAAAATGACAATGATTCACCACGATATCCATTCTGATTTGATTACTACCTGTTTTTCTAGCTCTACACTGTCTACAAAGTTGTATTTCTGTTAACTGTTTTATGTAATGATATGTTCAATTATACTTTATCTGATGATATAGCCAATTTGGTTGATGATAACAAGAAACAGCACAGTGACCATGGTAGAACTTCTTAAACACTAGTTTTATATGTCTTTTTAGTTTTATGTGTTTATAGGAGTATGTTTAGTTCTGTCCTGCTTTGTTCTGTTTCTCCCTCTAATATAGAAAGGATAGAAATACATGTTAAGACTCATGCATGCGTGAAACCTATAAACAGTTTATGAGAACTGGTCTTATGACACATGATGAAATGAACAAACACTTTGAAGGAAAGAAAGGGGCACTGCAGTACCCAGTGCTGATTCTGGAGTGCTATAATGTGAAATCCAGCAGTATTATTAATCTTTGTTCAGAAGGATTTTAATCTAATAAGTTTTGTTAGGTCTCAACATAAATGAAGATATAGATAAATGTGTACATGTCTAAGTGTATAGGATTGATAGCCATATTACTTGGTTTTTGTTGGACAGTTGAACAGAACTGTTTGTAGTCTCCCTGGTTGAGTTTCCATTTATATGCTCCACTTTTGTATCTTGAACAACTATTTGTGGGGCGACAATATGTATAAATCAACTAGTGATTTATTACTGTTTATTTCTTTTCTTTGAAAGTATGTACTATTTCTGCCCATTTTCTGTTTTGTTTTATCTTTCTTTAAATAAAAAAGCATAAACCTAAATAAACAAAATTAATAGTGAAAAAGGAAACATTACAAGTGATACCATAGAAATTCAAAGAATCATCAGATAGTATTTTCAAAAACTACATGCTAAGAAAGTGTAAAATTTTTAAGAAATGGATATATTTTGGGGAACTTATGACTTACAAAATTTAATCAAGATGAAGTTAAATAAAAACAAATAACCTGAAAACAGCAATAACAAGTAATGAAACTGAATCAGTGTAAAAAACTTTTCAACAAAGAAAATCCCAAGATTAGATAGATGGCTTCAGCACTGAATTTTCTCAGACCTTTAAAGTGAAGCTTATAGTAATTCTTCTCAAGCTATTCTATAGAACTGAAAGGGAGAGAACTAAACTAAATCATTCTATGTGATCAGCGTCACTCTGCTAACAAAACTGGTAAGGCTAAAAGACAAAACCACAGCAAGATGAAACGAGAAAGAAAGAAAGAAAGAAAGAAAGAAGAAAGAGAGAGAGAAGAGATGGAGAGAGGTAGGAATAAAAGTAAAATTAGAGACTAATAAATGTAAATGCAAATATCTTCAAACATAACACTTGCAAATGAATGCAGGATGTAGAGAGAAAGGAAATTAAATTTATACACTGTTGACAGGAATGTAAATTAGTAGAGCCTTTAGAGAAAACAGTATGGCGGTTTCTTGAAAACCTAAAACTAGAACTAGCGTATGATCCAGTTACGCTACTCCTGGGTATAGGTCAAGGAAATAAAGTCAGTGAACCAAAAGACAGAACAAATCAAAACAACAACCCAAAGAAACCAAACAACCTGTACCATTTACTGTGGCACTCTCACAATAGCTGAATATGTACTTATCAGAAAGTGAATGGATAAATTAAATGTGGTCTGTACATAAATGAGTAATCTTCAGTCATAAGGAAGAGTGAACTCCTATCATTTCTAACAAAATGAATGCAACAGGAGAATGTTAGGTTAAATGAAAGAAGTTGTACATGAAAAGACAAGCTCACATTTTTCTCTTATATGTAGAAACAAACAAGCAAACATGAGCAGAGAGAAGAAGTGGAATCACTAAGAGCTTGGACGGGTGCTTCGGGCACAAGAGTAGGAGGAAAGTGCGTGTGTTCACTGAACCGGGTAAGAGTAGTGAGTCTGTACACTAATTTGTACAGTTCATATGTTTGAGTAATTAGAATTGAAAAGTCATTTGAAAATCAGCACATTACGAAGATAATCTATTATTTCTATTGGGAAGGCTTTGTAAAATTTAGCGTAGCATTATTTAACTATTCTATTATCAATTTAAATACTAAATATATCACATACTATGAAGAGTTGTGGGTGCTGAAATCCATAGTTAGGTGATTCATTTATACTAGTGAAAAGTAAACTCTTTTCTCATATAGGGAGTTTTTTTTTAACTGCTTGTAAGTTGATAAATGTCCTTAAGATAGAGGCAACAATCTATTCTTTCATGTAAAAAAAATGTTTTACATGAGTATTAGAATCATTCTAAAGGACATACTGGGGGGAAGGACATCTTGTGTAACTTTTTACACAGCCCAGAAATGGAGGAAGTGAAATAATTCAAACAATAACAGTATGCACGGGCTAGCCAGCATCTTTTGATATATACCTTTTGTTTTGTGTTTTATTCTATTTTTCTCCATTTTCACCAATTACTCTAATGTAGTTTGCTTTATAAATTTTAAATACATTTACTACCTTCATTTTTATGAAGTATTATTTAAAATATACAAAAATATGTGCAACTAGTCAAACATTAAATTGTTACATTACCAAAATCACATTTGAGTAATTTATTTAGGTCTTTTACATAATTTTCCTAAGATTTTTCATTAGCCATTAATTGGGATACACATTGAGAGACCAAAATCATGACATAGAAACTAAGATCTTTCATGTTACTTAACATAGAGTGTATAATCATTAAAATATATTATTTTGAAAAATCATTTTAAATTACTGCTAAAATAGAACTGATGTTTAGATCAGCTGAGGTTTTGTTTTATTTTCTCTAGATTTCAGTTACCTGGACCAAGGTTAAATATTATATTTTAAAAAGAGTATTTTAAAAGAGAACAATAAAAAAGAAATGAGACTTTGCATCAGTTAACTAATGTGCCATGTTTCTCAAAAGTGACCATTTTTCCTTCCCGTTGTTTAGTTTTGACAGTCAGACACTAAATTCAGTGCGGACTGAAAAGCACAATGAAAATCAGGGTTAATTTGGAATGAGAGTTGGAGTTAATTTCAAGGATAAAACCCAGATGAGTGGGAAGAAAATGAGTGGCAAAGAGGAATTAAAGACAGCACTGGGGACCCTGCATCAGAGATGCTCAAAACTGGGGTGGCAACAAAGACACTGTAGCCCAAGATCTATGTGGCAAGACGAATATAAGCTACTTTTATTTTAGTAATACTGTGTTCTGGTGACATGATTCTCAATTACAGTCTTGTGTTTTAGTGACGTTAGTCATTGGGAAATGAGGCTTTTAGAATTGTCAAGCTGTTTAAGTTCATTTAATTTAAATCACAAAAGTATCAAAATTCAAGATTGTTATCATAGTTTTTTTTTTTTTTTTTTTTTTTACCTCTTAATCCATTGTATGAAAGAGATTCCGTTAAATAAGAAACAGATCCAGAAAAAAAGAACTTTTATTGTTTGGAAGCTACTATATCTATGATTTCTCTAGCAGTATGAGTCAAATCTAAGCAGATGACGTGGCCTTCTCCAAGAAGCCCAGCCCACTTGGCACTTAAAAAATTTTGTCTTCACAATTGCAGGTGGCCTTGCAATACTTCTTGACCACTGTAAAATTACAGGTTAGTGTTTGTTTCATTTCTGCACAGTTGGAATATCTGTCTTGATAATCACAAGCATTGGCTGAAAGAAAAATAAAACAATCACCTCATTATCATTGTTCTCCACAGCAGCCACAGGAACAGTAAGTCCATAGGAGTGGGGAGGAGACTGACCACACAGTTGTTATTATTACACTGCAAGGACAATTTCATAGCTTGGAGAACATGCGAGTTTCCTTAGTTAAATTCCCTGAGTGACCTAGTGATTCTTTTTAAACTTGAGTTCTCATATTTTGCTAAGATGAATAGTCTTATTTTCTTGTCTAAAACAAGTTGAATAAAATCAAGTGAATGTCTCCAGAGCTGCACTCTCTAAAAATAGTCCTGCCAAGCTGTGTGCTTCTTTCAGCTGAAGCTTAATTTAAACTAAACTTTTGTCTTCAGCAGAATAGTTCCATTCCAAAGGTCAGTGTACCAAGGGGCTACTCTACAGAACAGTGGAAACACTAAGCGTTTTCATTATTGCAGAGTTAGATTAGGTAGTGTTACTCTAGAATCAAGACTAATGCCACTAAGGATTCCGGTAAGCGATCTTACATGAAGACAAAGTTGCAGAAATTTAAAAGAATAGAGACACTATCAATATGATCATTTGATATTTCCACTGCACTGTCCCTCCCTGGCCACACACTGAACAAATCTCAGTCTAAATGTAGCATCCTACATATCAAACTTGATGTTTCTTTGAAGCCTCACCCTTCTTTTGAAGTCATGTCAGAGAAATGACACTCTCAATTACTAAGTAGTTCAAGTCAGGAAACCTGAATGAACAGGAACTTCCTGCTCTCTGAGATTGGGCTGAGGATGTGGCCCAGCTGGTCTTGCACTTTGTACTCACATGACCCTGCTGCTTTATCACCTCAATAGCTGAGCCCACCGGTGTGCACCACCATGCCCAGCTCTTTGCCTTTTCTCAGCACTCATAAATACCCTGGCGCTGCCATTCGTGAACTCCATTCTTTCCATGATTCTGGTTGGAAATTGAGTTTGAGAGAACAACTCAGATTCAGTGGTTAGGTTCAGTATTGACCTTATTGGGAAATTTGATTCAATTCTCATCCAGTCAGGTTTGCAACCAGAATCATGGAGAGAATTGAGTTCAATTACAGGTAACAGTGAATATTCTACTTTTCTCCTTTATGTATCCTTCTTTTAATTCCTTTTGCACTAATGCGATTAAACTATCTGATTTTTTAAAGTCCATGTCCCCTAGGGGGCTTTCATCTTATCACTTCTTCCTACTATTTCCAGAAGCTCCTTATAAAACATTGACTTGGCCACTTCTATTTAAAATAATTCAATTGGTTATTCTTTACAAGTAGGGTAGATTCTAAACTCCTTAGGAAAAATGGGCCTTACAAATGTAAATTCTTGGCTTTTTCTTCTTTAGTTAACTTACAGATTTGATGGCATCTATATACTGTATTTTATTAGTCCATATTAGTACCACAGAATAATGAGGTTGTTTGTGCAAAATTAGTTTATACATATAACAGGTTTTCAATTTTTTAATTCCATCATCACCTCAGCCTTTCCTGTCCCCTTCCCCTTTGACCTCATTCTATATCTTCAAAAGTATAATTTCTATTCTTTTATCATCTTCCCCATATTAATTAGGTATCTTATATAAGAGAAAACATGATGTTTCACTTACTGGGTCTGACTTATTTTATTTAACTCAAGAGTCTCCAGTTTCCTATACTTTCTTGAAAATGACAAGATTTCATTCTTCATGGTAGAATAATAATCCATTGTGCACCATACCTAATTTTCTTTATTCATCCAATCATTGATGGGCATCTTATCTATTTCCCCAACTTAGCTGTTGTGAATTGTTCTGACATAGCATAAATATGTATGCATCACAACAGCATATTATCTTTCAATCTTATGGAAACACTCAGAAGAGGTATAGTTGGATCAAATGGTATATATGTTTTCATTTTGAGGAGTTTTTATACTGGTTTTTACAGTGCTTGTGTTAATTTTCATCCCCATCAACAGGGTAGGATGGTTTCTGTTTCCCCATATCCTAACCAGTATTCACAGGTTTTTAAATTCTGATGATATCATTAATATTGTGAATTACAATTGTTCACTTCTGTCAGAATGCTGCAGTTCAGTCAGGGGAATGTGTTTTAAGGATCAGAATTACAAATAATAAGTCAACTTGTTTATTCATAATAATTTTAACAACATTCCAATTAAATACTTCTGCAATTCTGCTCAAGACTGGAAACGAGGCAGTATACACATTATATTTTTGCTTGCTGTTTTTGCTAAAATATTTTCAAGGCTTTGTAAACTAATACTATAAATGATTTTGATCTTTGGCTTTAAAACATTTACATAAACTTACTAGCAGTCAGAAATGCTAGTGTTTATTAAATTTGGTGGTTTTAGGTACACTATGCTAACTGTGAATTTTATTGTGAGAGACTCATTGGCGCTTGAAGAACTGTATTGTGTGTTGTACCTCTCTGCAGTGAGCCATGTTCTATTTATTTCAAACTCTTGTAATTTTGTTTTCTGTTTTAGAAATGCCAGCTTTGATGTAATACCACTGTTCTTGATTATTAGAAACTTATCATTTAAATACAATAAATTATTTCCCAAGAACATTTATTTTTATAGATTCTATAAATAACTCAGCATTAAAATAACATACATGGATCTTTGTATTGCATATAGTAACAACTTTCTATTACAAACGGTACACACATAGGAACAGTGTAAAAATTGTACTTAAAAAGGCTCTGACAAGTACCACTAGTCTTTTGAATGCAGATGTCCTTAAATTTGCTTATATCAGATGGTTTCTTTACACTTACAAAGTTTACCACACTATTTTATGAACTAAGAAGTTAATCCCTTCAAACTTACTGCACAGTCCATCTTCACAGTGACCAGGGCAACTGGCACAAGGGGCTCCTTGCTTGTAAGGGGTATATTGTCTTTCCATAAAATTACCACTGAAATTTGAAAGGCAACGTGTCAAATATATTACTTTAAAGTTTTCTGTTCAGTTTATACTCATCAGGAAGTACTGAAGTATTTAAATACTTCAAATAATTAAAATCTAACATCTCCCAAATGTATTCAAATAACAATGCCATTGAAACTTGCATAGTACCTCCTTATCATTATTATATGTTGTTAGTCATTATCATCTAACTAAAGAAAAGAATTGAATTCTGGATTGCAACTGTGAGACAAGAAGCCAAGGCAATGCAGCTAGAGTCTCTAATGCAGAGTGTGTGAGAAACAATAAAAACTATGAAATAGGTGTTCTCTCTCTGTTTTTCCTTCCTTCCTTCCTTCCTTCCTTCCTTCCTTCCTTCCTTCCTTCCTTCCTTCCTTCTTTCCTTCCTTCCTTCCTTCCTTCCTGACTCTCATCTCAGAAGGTAGTCTCCATAAGTACTCATCTTATGACCAGGCACTTAAATCATTGTTAGAATCTTTTGTTGCTTTTACTGAGCACCAACAAGACATAGCTGAAAATTTACTTCAAAATTCATACATTTAAAATTGGAACTCGATATCATCTAGCTTATCTAGAGTCTCAAAGTTAATTATACAAGCTACTTGGTTTTCTGAGATGCTCTGCTACTAGTAGTAAAAAAAAAATTCATGTGTAAAAAGGAAATTAAAACAGATAGATGGTTAATGTATCTTCATTACATTTGACATTATTGACAGGGATCTCTAAGTGTGTACTCACCCAGGACAGTAATGACAAACCATAAAGTATTTTAAAGAGAAGTTAGGACAGTAGGCAATTCCGCATCCCACACGGAAAGTGGAGTACCAAACAACCTACACACCAACAAGAGAAGACATGAGTGCAATGGAGGCAAAGGAATTGTGCAAAAGTAATGTTACACAGTTGTTTCCCTGTGCCTTATATGTAGTTAAATTATTGAACTGAAATGAACAAAATTTAAAATATTACATTTCAATGTGCATTCACTCTTTTATATCTTTAAATTGTCAAAAAATACAAAATAAGTTTCCCTAAAAAAACCCCTATAGCTTACATTAAAAGTAATAGCTCAGATGCTCAACAAATGCCAAGACTACTATATGTCCTCACAAGATTTTCCTTCAAATTCCATTTTGGAGTCATGCAAACTTTGGACACACTTTCCTTTTAGATTATTTAAGACAAAGAACAAGTATTATTTTTTTTCTCTTACCTGAGTATAGTGTCCAATTACTGCAGTAGGTGTCTTTGGTCCTACATTGAAGATAAAATCTTCGCTCTCACTATACCACATTTGGATTGCTGATGACCATGAAAGGGGAATATTTGACCTAAGGAGGTTCTCACCACAGCTCACATCTACGAGCAACAGATCACTCATGAGGAAAGTAACAAGGCATGTAATGGGAATACAAATGCATGAACACATACAAAGAAGTCGGGGTCTCTGATGTTGGAACGCAGTACACATAGTTGCAAACTCCCTGGTAAACCATAAAGAATGTGCCTCAAACCCTCATCAGCCGTAAAATGAATGTGATATGGGCCAACGTGGAAAGCTACCTGGAGATAAAGAAGTGTTTACGCTCTAATGTCTGCTCATTCATTTACACATTAAATTCTTCACATATATCATATATGCCTTGTATTTACTGAGATTTTGTTGCAAAATTACTAGCTCCTTTAATTTCTTTCCTGTTCTAACCTACACTCAGTAGAGAGTTTTACATATAAAAATCTGAATTAATACTAAAGTTTATTGTTTTGTATTATTTTTTTTAAAAAATCTTACATCCATTATTTAAAATAGCAAGCACAAAACAAGCCATATGAAAAGAATATTTTCAAAGTTTATGGCTGTCTCCTTAATCAACCAATCAAAACAACACAGGCCAAAAGACTCTCCTCCAAAAACCCGAAAAAAGTATCTTGCATCCCCAAATTATACCAATATTTTCAAGCTCTGCCAATGGTATTTACATTTGGATGTCAAATTTAATACCTACATGTTCAAAGAGAATAAACTACTCTTGGATAGTTAATCTTAAAAGAAAAAAGAAACTAAGATATTTTACAGTAGACCAGGATTTTAAAAACCAATTATTACATATTTTCTTAACTGTAGAAACTCATTTTCATAGTTTTATAATAATGAAGGCCTATCTTCAAAACAGGTCAGTTATTTATTATTATCAACATGGGTTTGGCTTTATGACATTTTGATAATTCAACACATATTTTATTTCATATTTCATTATATGATATTTGTCATTGTTTTTATATTCTTTGATGTAAAATGTTTAACATTTTTTAATGCAATATGCATTGTCGATAATCAAAACACAAAAATTTCTCTGCAATCAAAAATTTAAAAGAAAGGAGAAATAAGAAACCAGTTCAACCTTCCTGTGAGCTAGTAGAAGCCATACAGGTCCCAGCAGGAGAACAAGAAGCCAATTTGCACTTCCCCTAAGCCAATCAGCACACAGGCTGGGAGTCAAGAACACCTCCTTAGTGACCCCTCCCCATCAACCGGTAAGCCACTGGCTGATTCTCGAGGCCCACAGAATGTCCTTGGGCACCCAAGGAAGGCCACTGTGTTTCTCTGTTCACCATACTACGTCTCCTATTCTGGGCCCAGGAAGATTCTCTCAGTAGATCCGTGCTGTTGAGGGTAAATATCAGTGCACTTTCCTGATTCCAGCACCAATGACCACACAAACTCCAAATTGAGATGATAGCAACTGAGGTTCAGAAACAGTGCAATGGTTGTATCGTTTGACTTTGCAGGCCTAAATCCAGTAGTGTGAGCATCTATTAAGAGGATCACAATACGCAAGATAGCAAATATGGAGATTTCTTTCTATCTTGTTTTGGAAATCCAATATTGTTCCCACTGTTTTGTTCCATTGCATTGTCTTGTTTTATTGAAAGTTTTGTTTTGATTGGTTTTATTCTTTTTTTAAAAATTTAATTATGCTGATGGTATAGGTGGCATTTTTGAAGATAAAAAGGCATTATGGTAGCCATTGTTGATTTTCTATTATCCTGTTTTGAAGACCTATATCATTTTCACTGTTTTGTTTTGGTGGGCTTCATTCTGTTTTATTCTGTTTGGTTTTATTCTCTTTAAAATAGAATTTAAAAATATTAGAAAAGAAATAAAAATATGTAAATGTTAGTACTAACTGTATTCAAGAAAAATTCAGGAACAGTTTTTTTTACAATTTCAAAATTTGTTTTCAAAACAGGCTACATAATAATATGAAATGGTTATTGGATTATAAACCAGAAACTACAGTGTTAGATTAAACTTTTCATATATGACTTTAGGTACAGATAGATGGTTGGTTGTCTAATCTTTGACATAGAGAAAGAGATGAATGAAATAGCTTTACTCATGAAGTGGTTGACAGGTCAAAGGTGATGCTTTGTGACAGCTTTTACAAAATAGAAAACAAAGGCCAGGCTTCTCATTGTTATCACCGCATTCAGAGATATTTAACTTGAAAGAGCCTTAGAACCAATACTTATTTACAAACTTTTCAAAAGCAACATCATAGGCAGGACCCTTATTATTGTACTGTACAATTATCTAACAAATATTGGTTAATTTACATACTGGGTTTTCGGAATTCTTTTTCACTATGACTGTACTTGCAATGGTTTGCCCAGTCTTGGGCTTTCTCTGCTGCCGCAGCGTACCATTCCTAGGAGAGGAAAGAAAAAAAATCTTTCACTCCGTAGTTGAAAAAAATTAAAGATATAGCCAAATTGATATGTTTATTTATGTCTTTATACAATTTCTGCAAAGGAAAGTCAAAAATTCCATGATTTCTCTTATATGAGAAACATGAAATATAAATTGTTTCAACAGGAAACAAAGATATTTGAAAACAGAGAGATAAACTTTGCTCAAATGGGAAGGGAATCTAAGGAGAGGGGAAAACTAGCTGCAGAGGAGGGGAGGAGTAAAAAGGATTAAGATTTCCCTCCAAGAAATGATATATTATGTATTACAAACATGATAATGAACAACAGATAAACTCTGCAAAGGCATTTTCCAATTTTTATATCTAAATCACAGATATGAATTTCTAATGTGCCCTTTTTTGCTCTAAATAACTGTACATTGTATGCCTACCTTCAGTAACTGAAAGATCTAAAATAGTTATAGTCCAACTATTATAATGGCACAATAGGCATAACTAATAATTTGTAGCAACTCTCCTCCTCTACATATTATTATTACCAGCTCACTCCTCCATCCAGTACATTTGAAGTTTGTGTGGTCATCGGTGCTGGAATCAGGAAAATACACTGATATTTACCCTAAACAGCACTGATCTACAGAGAGAGTTTTCCTTGGCCTAGAATAGGAGCTGTAGCATGGTGGACAGAGAAACAAGTGGCCTTCCACTGGTTGCCTAAGGACATTCTAGTGCTACTGGCATAATTTAAATAGCCCCATAAGTTTGACTCATTATTTAAATGTTGTCAAGGGAAGTTAAGAAATTCTGCCCTCACCATGAAACACATGAAATGCCAAATCTAGGCAAAACCTTAGGCAAAAGTTGGGAGATATCTGTGGCCATCTGCCTGCCCTGAGTACACCTCACAGTGGCTCAACCTTCCTACTTTAGGACATCTTACCATCTTTAGCATGTCACTGGCTTTTGGAGACACTGCTCTCCTTAGTTCGTTGTGTTTATTTACAATCTCCTCTTGGACTTTTGGTAAGGTGGTTGACAAACCAGGAAATACCTTTTTTAAAAAGAGAAACAATTTCAGACATATTTTAGGAGATTTGAAAATTACATAGTAGCCTAAATAGATCTTTGATGTTTCTAGAAAACAAGAATAAAATTTTTAAACTAGTATTTAAATCAAGTCTATTATTGTTAAAGATACTAAGCCAAATGAATTTTAAATAAAAAAAGTACTAGACAGAAACTCTGACAAGGGTAAATTTATATTTTCTCTTAGACCACAAATACCACTTTTGGTCTTTAGAGAACTCTTCCTGTGCTTTTCCTCAGTGCACTGTGTGGGTGATAGTACATTATGATGACAAAGGTACATGATAGAAACCATTAAGGATTCAGTCAATTAGGCTGAAACAAGGAGTGGAAGGGAACAGACAAATAGACTTGAGGGATATCATGCTTCTGACAAGCCCTCGAATATCTAGGGAGAGTGGTTCAAGTGCATGCATGTAGTCTCTAGTCTAGTGAAAGAGTTTAATGTAATAGTGGCTGATTTTAGGGAATAATTCAAAGAATGGATTTCCATTCATCAAAAATTCCAAAAGCTATTTCAAGGAAAGATGTCAATCAATTAATGAACTATTGCTGACTTTATCTTTCCATTAAGAAAAAACCTGACTAATGAGGTTTTAATTTGCATGGTAGTATTAGAGCTCATGCTTCGAGGCATGTGTGGGTCTGGAGTCTGAAATGGGGTTATGTGAATTGTTGGCATAAAAGATAGAAATTTGCTGATCTAAATTTACATAAAAATGTGCTGTTTATAGGGAAGAAGAAGATTTCAAAGTATAGTATACACCGGCAAGACCCTTATAGAATTTGTCTTAGACCTTGGATAATTTATCCATACCTCCCACTGCATTGAATCCCCTCAGCACTAAAAATACTGCCCTCATACAGCTGAACACATTGTGTTGCCATTTTCTAGTGCATGTGCATTTCTTCTTCTTGTTCTCACGTTCCTGAGGACAAGGCCATTGGTAAATGTCTGGTACCAAGAGACCCAGCCATGCAACTAAGTGACTTAGAAAGAATATAGATGTGCAGTGTCAATAGTGACTGATTTCTGCATTTTATGTCAGCCATAAAATCATATATGTGAATATTTCCTATTGAGCTCACAGACACACTTAAAATAGTTTTAGTCCCCCAAAACACAGGAAAGTTAGTTACTGAGACAGTAGTAATAACTTTCTGCTTCTTACATTTAAGTTGTAGATGAAAATTCATAGAGTTTGTAATACATAAGTAACTTTAATAAAATAATGACAGTTCTACATAGCAAAACTGACTGAAGGAATGCTGGGTAATAGAGAATGATCAATTTGACATGTTCAAGGTCATAATGGCTTCACAAAACATGATTATGGTTTCTTTGGTATTCAATTTCCAATTAATTTATGAATAAAACCATGAGATAGACCAGAGTAGTAATAAATGAAAAACAAGGACCATGAAATACAATCTTTAAGAAAGTAATTAGAAAGAAAACAAATAATGCAAATGAAATCCTATGTGAGAAGTAAATTTTCTCTAGATTGTTAATGTCATACAACACAGTGACAGATTTTCTGTACGAGACATGACATGTCAACCAAGTGTTGGAGCCTAGTTTATATATCTTCAAATCTAGAGCAGGGTGTGCTAACCAAGAGTAATGCTCTAAGTTTATAAGTTTCCAAAGTTCTCTAGACAAATGGATCACTGTCTTTGAGCAGCACATACTTTATCGTTAAAGAGGATTATTGACCCTATTCTAGGAATTGAAGAAAACTGCATTTTCGAAGGAATTGGAGTATAAGCAAAATCTACTTAATAATGTTAGTATACTTTTAATTAAAAAACAGATATAATTGCTCTCACACTATAAAAATTAGATACAGATATGAAGAAGACACACTAATTTGAGATTACATATACACATATTATTAATTGTCAGTGGGATTATATTTAAATGGAGTAAATAAAATCAAAGCAACTCTGAGGCAGAAGGAGTACTAATATCTTTAAACTCATAGATTTCTATTATGTCACTATGAAACAGTTCAAATACCACATGTGATTTCAATTTTATGGTGGCCATTTGAAAAAGGATAAATAGGTGACTGTAATAATACGTATTACTTAACAAATATCTCCAAAATAATGTTTCATTGTCATCAAAATTGAAATTACTATGACACTTTACCTCCCTTTTGTGGGGGGAGGCTATCTTTGAAACCACCTATGTGACTTTCATGTGTGCACATATTGACATAGACAAACATGCATCCAGGTCAGTACTCTCTTGTGGCTGGAGGCTATGTGTCAGTCACCACAGATTTGCACTTACGTTACCTGCAAAGAGCTAACAACGACTACTTTGTGATATACCAGACATTCCAATCCTTTTCAGTTTTGAAGACTGATCTGGTAGCTGCTCTTTCTCATGGTTTCCTGAGTTGTTTGAAAAGATTTTCAGCCTTAACCTTACCTTCTTTCCATTTGCAGGGAAAGATGGAAGCACAATAGCAACCAGGGACAGGATCACTGGGAATAATACCATTGCTGGGAAACAAAACACAGGGAACAGAGTCTTGCATTACAATGCTTAGTAGGTAGAGGTGGAGTCCTAAGGAGCTCCATTGGATAACTGATTCATAATGTGACAAGAGAAGAATTGCCACACGGAACAACAGAATGATGCTGGGCTCAGTTCCAGAAAGACACTTTCGTTAGGGGCAATGAAGAACAAATAGAAGAACTTAAGAGAAGCTCTGAAACATGTCTCTTGATTCTAAAGACCTAATGCCTTTTCCTCCCAGTGCCACACTCTGATTGTGCAGCTGCTCTCTTTTGGTCAGTAGTAAGAGCTCTGTTATGGTTTGTATCTGCACGTTCCCCCAGGAGCCTCACGTACTCTTAGGCAGAGCTTTGGAAAGGTGATTGGTTTGTGGAAGGATCATAGCTGACCTACCCTCATGGAGCAGGGTCTGGTGAGATGAGGCAGGTCTCTGGGGGTGGATTGGAGGTTTGTTCTCCCTCCTCCGTCTCTCCCTTTGCTGTCTGTCTCCTGTCTGCCATGTCACCTTGCTTTGGAGCCTGAGGATTATAACCTGATCCATTAACCAAAACAAATGCTTCTCCCCTTAAGCGGTGTATGTCAAGTATTTTCTCTCAGCAAAGAGAAGTGACTGCGACAAGTTCCCAGTCGTTGCATTGCAGGTACTAGTGTGATTACCCTGTGCTGTTATTGAAGCCTTGTGTATATCATGTTGAATTAGCATTTCTTCAAATCAGAAGTTAGAAAATGACATTTTTGCATTATTATATAATTTCATTCCCTATATCTCACTTCCTTCCTGTTTCTTCCAGCATTTGACCCCTTATCATTTGCAAAAGTTCTATTTTCACTATCAAGTTTTTTCCTACAATTCTTTTTTTCCATTCCCTTTCACTCCATTTCCATCTCTTAGCTTCCCACCTATTTAAAAAGATCTCTGCACTTCCTATCTGTATCCTTTTTGCTCTTTCATTTGACTTTCTTTCTCTCTGTCTCAGCTTGTGTACTACAAACATGTGCTAACAAATAAATAAATAGAATTTTAAAATGATGTTTATTTTATGTCAGTGCTACGTTTTGTTCTTTAATCAATGTAGAACTCTAGAACATTTTTCTAAAAAGGATCTGCTGTTCTTTCATAGTTTTAAATCACTGTTCAACTTTGCCCATGTAGTCAGTATTTTGACTCATACTCTGTGAAAAATTTATCTATATATGTATGTATGTATGCATCTATCTATCTACCTATTTATTTTATTTTATAGAAAAATAAAACAAAATTTCAAAATAAAATAATAGGGGAATAACAAGCATTAACACTTGCATATTGTTATCTTTAAAATAGTTACTCAGAAAAAAGATATGGGCATGAAAATTTCTCCAAATGACACTAGCACAAACCTTTCTTTTCAATGAAATAAGAGTAACTAGTAATATTACTATCTTGTATTTTTTCCATTTCCCTTTCTTCCTTTCCCTTCTCTCCCACCCTTTATAAAAATTTCTTTCTGTTTCACAGCATCTATTATACACTTTGGAATTTATTTAATTTAAGTTTCTCACACCAGGAACACAATGTAATATTTACACATACGAGTTCGATTTATTTCTCTTATGAGTATGGTCTCAAGTTGCATTCATTATCCTATTTATCTTTATTAATGGCTGAATAATACTCCACTGTTTAAAGATTTTAATATCATGCCTCGATCTCCAAAAAACAAACAAATCAAAAAGAATTCAACATTCTTTCTCTGGATTTTGAGAGAGATGATAATAATTTGATTTCTTCCACTGAAAGGGTTGCTATCATCTTTAGTAATATCTTTAGTATGTTGACGTAATTTTATTTAGTAACTCAATTCTGGTAGTCCTAAGAAAATAATAAATTAAACTCTAAAAGTTTGAGGGATACATGTGTATTTCCTATGGGGTGATACTACACAAAGGATTAAATAATGGAGCTTTCACACTGAGTTACATCTCTACCACCTTTAGAATTTTGAGACAGGATCTTGCTAAGTCACTAGGTTGTCTTGGCTGAACTCAAAATTACTGTCCTCCAGAGTCATCAAATCTTACATAATTTTGATAAATATTTCATTATATCATTGGAAGGAAAAATATATTATAAACTCACAATATGTTCAACAATGTTGGGATAAAATGCCCGAGTAACTCAGAATACATCCACTTATTGAAATATATCAGACAAAAACGGCTCTAAATCACTATGATACTTTTGTAGTAGAGAAGATAAGTAAAGTTTTAAAAAACTAGAACATCAGGTTTTACAAGGTAGGTCTTTATCCTGCTTCTTGCACTGTATGCAAGTATCTCTATCGCCCCTAAATGCATATGGTGACACCAAATTCAAATTTAGAACATATTTGGAGAAGTATCTTCTGACAAAGAATTGATATTCAGTGAAAGTATTGATATCCTTATCACATAAGGAAGGGACTCTAATCCAACAGAACTCATATCCTTACAAAGACACCAGAATGTGCTCCAGCACACACAAACACACACACACACACACACACACACACACACACACACACACACACACACATGCATACACACACAGGACAGAAAACATAGGAGGACACAGTGTGAAAAGTAGTTGTCTGCAAACTAGAAAGAAAGCCTTCACTGAGAAATAACAAGGGGATGTCGATCTCGATGATCTCTTGCAACTGTGAGAAAATAACTTTATTGTTCAAGCCATTCAGTCAATCATATGTTGCTATATTGATTGACAAAACTAAAATACACGTTCTCTTCTTTTAGGTTATTTTTAGTGAGTTCCAAGGTCTGTGAGATGTGGCATGTTGAAACATAGAGCAGCAGTCTGCTTTCTGGCAGGTGCGTCAGTGCCAGGCACTGCAAGAGCTCGTTGCTGCTGTGACTGTCTAATGCCCATGTGCCAGGACAGCTGCGCTCCTTTCATTCGCTATATGGCTACTGTATGAGAGAGAAAGATGCGGGCTATGTGTAAGAAAGTGTCAGAAGGTGTTTTAGTGCAAAGTGATAGTGATTATTTAGGAGTGTTGGTGGGCTGGAAATGGACACATTCAGATTCTGCTGGACAAGAGTGTTAGAAACAAGGCCTCATCCCCTCCTTTTATAAAGTTAATATCACACAAAAAGTCAGACCAAAAATTAAAGAGAGTAAGAAGAAATTCGAGGGAAGTAGCCTAGCTTCATGTAGGAAGGCACTATTTTCTATGATTTCAATAAAAGTTTTGATAATAATTGCAATTAGTTATAATAATACTTGTAATTACAGTGGTTCACAAAGGAGAAATTTTTACATAAAGAGGTTAACTCTTGTAATTGCTTCTGATTTTGCTAAACAATTATTTCAGTTACATTTTGCAACCAAATGAAACTCATAGTTTAGGCATTGTGATGTCTTTGTCAGAGAAGGAATGGAAACAAATATATTATGTCATTCCCTGATGGCTTCATCACCAGTTAGTGGGTTGTTAAGAATGCTGTAGTCTTCTTACTAACTACATAACTAATGTCTTTGATCATGCTAATCCTTAGACTGAATAATAAATACATCTTTGATTGACAATACAGGAAAAATAGAACACATGAATCAGATTCAAAGAGATATCTAGGAAATTAAAAATTCCATTGAAACTGGGCAAAATTGCTTGAATGAAACTAAAGGTAGGCTATCAGATCTTGAATACAGGATCACAGCTAGCAATCATGACACTACCAATTTCCTCTCCGAAAGAAAATTCATGAGTTAACTCCAAAATTTCCAATTATGCCCCTAAATGGAAGCATTTAAGTCTTCAAGTACATTTTTAATGCTATTCAATCTTTATATTGATGTGCGTTACCTTATTTCCCCTTGATTTGTCTGATTAAATTTGGATTTTTTCATAAAAATATTCTGACTTTGGGGAGGTTAGGGGAAAATTTTAAGAGGAAGAGATAAAAATTATAAATATATATGCACCAATATGGGAGCACCCAACTATATAAGACAAATATTTATAGACATGAAAAACCACACAAACAATAATGCGATTATAACAGAGGACCTGAACAGCCCATTGTCACAAAGAAAGAGATCAACTAGACAAAACTTCAGCAAAGAAATAGCAGAATAGAATAAAACTTGTGAACAAATGTACTTAGTAAATATCTTAAGAGTGTTCCATCCAACATCAGAATATACATTCTTCTCAGCTACACATGGGACATTCTCTAAAATAGACAAATATCAGCCCATACTTAAGCATATGGTGCTTAAGTAAATGCAAAAGAATTGAAATTATCCCAAGCACATTGTTTGACTATAGTGCACTGAAATTGGAAATTAATAGCAAAATAAAGTGCAAAAACTACATAAACACATGAAAATTAAGTAATATCTCCCTGAATAACCAAGGGATCATTGATGAAATTAAAAAGAAATTAAGTAGTATCTTCAATTAAATGAAAATACAGATACAATGTACCAGAACCTGTAGGAAGTAACGATAGTGGTTCTCAGAGGGGAATATACAGAAATGAATTTGCACATCAGGAAAACAGAACTAGCACAAATAAGCAACCTAATAGTGAACCTCAAACTTCTAGAAAAAGAAGAACAAGTCAAACCCAAGAGCCATAAAAAGAAAGGAAGATATAAATATCAGAGCAGAAATTAGTACATTTGAGATTAGGAAAAATAATACAAAGAAGTAATAAATTGAAGAGCTGGTTCTTTGAAATAAAGTTGGTAAACTCTTAGCCAAACTTATCAAGAAAAGGAAAGAAAGAATCAAATTCAAGCACTGAGGAATGAGAAGGGTGAAGTTACTACAGATTCTGTGAAAATTCAGCAAATCATCAATGCCTACATCAAAAGTCTTTAGTTGCATAGGCTGCAAAACATAGAAGAAATGACAGATTCCTAGAAATATATGAGTTGCCAGTGCTTAACTATGAAGTTATAAAAATTTTGAATAACCTGATGTCAGTTACTGAAATTG